TTAAATCTAAATAAAAAATAGGTTTGCCACACAACTTTGTAATGAATGCAGAACTGAATTCTCAGTTAATTTTATTAAAATAAGTGAATCAAAATAGTTGAAATTTTTGTGGAAAATCAATTATTAAAGTAAACATCTGATCATGGAGTGGTTTAACTGAATCGGTAAAGGCTTTCAACTCCTATTTCCTGGATATAGATTCCAGCTCTGTTATCGAAGAGGAGCAAATTGATTTAATGGATCGACAGCTTAATTCAATATTTAAAGTAACTAAAAAAATAAAATTGCTCAAATAAAACTTATGGAGTTGAAACTGTCGAGTGGTTTGAATAATAATATACCAGCACAATATCTTATAATATACTGAAATTCGACAGAAGAATGACATGGGGCTCACATATCAACGAAAACTTTAAACCTCAGACTATTATAATCACTTCTCTGAAGACGTTTAAAATTAAACTAAGTAAACACTTACATTTATCTACTAAATCCTATATGGAACTACGCTTTACAAATTACGAAACAGCCAAAACGACCCACATACAAAAACTACAAACTTTTAGTCAAAAGCTTTCAAAGCTTGGCACGTAACAAGCACTACATTACATAAAGATCTAAACATGCCAACAGTTATAACGACCATATAAGGACACACTACAAAATATTTCACGATATCCTATATGGACATACCAACACACTCATACAAGACTAGCATACCCGAAAACACTGTTATGAGACTAAAAAAAAAACTGGATTTCTACCTCATCAAGCCATTACCAGTATTGTTCTCGACAACGGAAAAAAATTATAAAGAAAAGGAAAATGTTATGGGACCTAACTCCATAAGTTATATTATACGGTAAAATTTATAATGAAACTTTTGAAAGGTAATGAAATTACCAAAAAAAATCATCGGAATCGAACCAGTATTAGCGATGATACAGCTTATTCTATTTTTTAAACATTTTTTAACTTATTACTTTCCTACCTATACTAGGTTAAGCACTAGTGGACCCAGGATTTAATTTTTTTGGCGGGGGGGCTTCAGCCCGACAGATTTTTTTAAATATATATAACGATAATTAATTTGAAAAAAAAGAAAGAAATGAATTTCCTATATGAAATGGTGTTTAAGTGATTTTTGAAGCCCTGTTAAGTGTAATTGCACGAACAATAATACTTTAAGAGATAGTTTTTAATTTTTTTTTTCTATAAAACACGGTTATATTTTATCGTTTTGGAGGGAGCTTCAGCCCGAAAGCCCCCCCCCCAACCCCTTAAATTCACCTGTGTAGGTAAGGAAAGTATTGCAATCAGGTCAAATTTCCGATATGTGGTTTTCGACGGATATATACGTTTCAGAGCCCCCTGAGTCTGAAAAACGTCGTTTAGCCTGTTTTTTGAAAGGTGGTGAAATTACCTAAAACTATACAAAAATCGTTAATTTGACAACTATTAACGAACTTACAGCTATTCAATTTTCAATGTAACGGGTTCATATCCTGGTGTCAGAAAGGGGTGAATGAGAGTAAGAAAATTTGTTGCCAGCATCACACAAGCTTCACTATTTCCTCTACTTTTAACAGAAATTATTGTTTGACAATACTAAGCTACAGCAAAAAGTTTTTGATCAGCAATATTAGATAGTATTGAAATTTTTACACTGATCTATCTTAAACGGTTTATTGCTTTAGTTTATCAAATAAATCGTACTCAAATTTATTCTGTGATCAATTTTCAGGAAATATATCTAATTCAATTTTTTTTTCATGAACTTATGTAAGGATATAAAACTTTTCTAAAATAGGTAGGAAAGTCGTGTGAGTGGACACACCACATTTTTTTTTTACAGCTCCAAGAAGTAGATAAACTGTTTTATTGGTTCCTTTTGGAGTTTGTGAGATTATTTTGAGTTAGTAGAATATGCTTGTCTTCAGAAAAATTATTGCAAATGGCTCTGCAGATTGGAAATCCCTAAGGGTCTCCTAAGAGAATAAAATCAATAAAAGTAGAACATTTAGTTCCGCGTCAACTAATTACCAACAGTTTTAATGTAGGTCAGTTACGCTCCTGGAAATTGAAAATTGCTTAAGAAGGTATGTGTAATTTTTAATATTTCAACTGTGTTGGTGTACACTAGCGGATCCAGGATTTAACTTTGGGGGGGCTTCAGCCCGAAGGATTTTTTTTTCATATATATAACGATAATTAATTTGAAAAAAAAGAAAGAAACTAACTACCCATATGACGTGTTATCTTAGTGATTCTTGAAGTCCTATTAAATGTAATTACACGAACAATAATAATTTAAGAGATAGTTTTAAATATTTTTTTCTATAAAATATGGTTATATTTTACCATTTGGGAGGGGGAGGGGCTTCAGCCCGAAAGACTCCCCCGTAGATCCGCCTGTGTGGGTGTATATTCTACTGGTGCAGTATAGAGTCTATACTATAGACCTCTTTCTCACCTGTCAACAGCGAAGAGTTTTGAGAAACGACGTATCAAAAGAAATCGAATTTCAGGAGGAAATTACGAATCCCGATTAGTAGATTATAGTGATATTATTGATCTACATTGAAAACGTTATTACTCAGTGATCGCAGAATTTCGTTGTCTACAACTTTGACATAATTAGTTTTTTTCCTCAGAAAACTCATTTCCAAGCTGCAGGGAAATTTAATTTCCCTCAGTTTTTAACAAATATGGTATCAGCGCTCGTTGACAGTGGTTTTCTACCATCAAATGATTAATTTACGTACTTATTCGATGCACAATTTAACTTTCTTTAATTTCTCAACGAGTACGTTTTTTCTTCCTTGCACCTTTTAGAAAATATAGATGAAAACAATTTTTTTTTTTGACTGTCAAAAGCTTTCCCTTGTGTTGTTCGCGTTAACAATTTCGGGTTTTACATATTTGAACCCATATTTACATGTTTTTTTAAATATATATTTATTGAAATTTACAATTGCATTGGTTAAAAAATACAAGTAAATTTGATTTAGTAATATTACATGTACAGCATGAACAGAAATTACCTATTGTTAACATCCCAATTATAATTCTATATTAGAACCCGGAGCCATTTTCTTCTCAGATGCCGTGGAGGTTTATCGGGAATCGAAGAGGATGCAAGGTTAGAAACAACAGGGTTTGGATGATTCAGAAGTTCATTATGTAAGGATAGGTATCTGGATTGGGCCAAATTTAACACATATTTGACAGCGACATTAAGGTCGATACGGATGATCTTACTAGTGACAAACTAAAGACCAGTGAGAATTTTAAGAAAAGAATGGATTGTAAGGATTGGATAGAAAAGGAATTTACACATTAAAAATTTTTTTATTTTATTTTATTATTTCTTAATGATATTTACAACTGTATTAAATAAATACATCTAGTAAATTTGAACATATAGATATAATGACATGAAAACACTTGCTGAGTAACTACCCAATGTCAGCACTCCAATGATATGTCTACATTAGGAGATCACAGGGCCATCTTCTTTTCAGATGCCTCGGAGGGTTATTAGGAATTTAAGAGGAAGCAAGGTTAGAAACGAGAGGGTTGGGATGATTCTGAAGTTTATTATGGAACATTTGGACATTTGTCAAACAGATGTATTGGGCCAGATCTGAAACAAAAGAAATATTAAGGTCATTATGGATGGTTTTATTTGTAACAAAATAGAGAGCACTGAGGATTTTACCAAGGATTTTGGATTATAAGGATTGGATACGAGAGGAATTCGATTGTTTACTGGAGCCCCACAGCTGAACTCCGTAAGTGCAAATAGGCCTTATTATAGTCGTGTATATGAGTTTTTTGTAATTCGTTGGAAGTTTAGAGCGTTTGTCTAGTAACTGCTGAAGTAATCGGAAACGTCGAGCGGTTTCTTGTCGTTTCAGTCTAGTATCATTAAGGAGAGAGAGAATCACTTTATTATCATAAAATAAAATGGTGTTGCCCAATTACATTGGGTTGCTAACAACACAGCATACTTATTAATCACTACAGACATTATTTAAAATTATTATACAATTATATAGGATTAACAATATGTATGAGCATAGTATACAATATTTTATACATATATTATTTTTTTTTTTTCATTTTTTTCTCATTTTTTTTTATTTTTACTATTTCTTCTTAAATAAAATAAAAATAAAACTTTCCTCACATTTTTCGCAATATATTTCCCGTTTTGATCCTCAAATTACTGGCCTCATATTTTTTCATTCAGCCGCCATATCTGACAGCGCCAGCTCTAGAATCGTAGACAAGGTTCGCTTTATTCAGAATGACTGTCGTAATTTACATTCAAACTCCCGCATACGATAAGGTACATTTTTCTGCTCTGGTCCCCTCCATGACTAACCTACTAGATTTTTATACTCCTTGTAAGTGGGAGAACTACAAATCAAAGTCATCTACTCTAAATAAATAGATCTTGAGCGAATACAATAATAAATTACCGTAAATTCAGAGATAGCAGTCTCTGTTTACTTAACTAATAAAATGGAAGAATATTTTCGATTGGCACAAGCTAATTACTTATTAAGTAAGTTGTTACTTTAGGAGTCGTATTAAGGTATGAAGCTTCACCGATTGTGTGTGTTGAATGTATTATTTTGATAATAATATATTGTAAAAATGAATTAACTTGTTTTGCTGATGTCAGATGCATTAGGGAGGAGTATAGCTGTCTAATGTGAGGTTTTTCACTGGGGTACGCTAGTAACTACTGTTGTAAACCTATTTCTCGGAGTCAAATACGCTCATTTTTCGATTGACCATTGACGAGTCATCAGATCTTTACTTCTTCGACCATTGTCTTCGGAGATCTTCCTATTTCCTGTACTCCAGATCCAGAGCTTGATCGGGGAAGCCCTATTCTCGGGGACAGCCTTCTGACGGACCCGCCTGCGCTGGCGAGGTTACAGGTAGTCGGACCGCTCCCATCAGCGCAGAGTCCCTCAGTCGTAACCCGCCTTCCGAACTGCCAACATTGGCTAATACTCGTCATAATTATCACGTTATTTATTATATATTTCGTGCTTCAAAAATTATTTGTACTTTATATCGGATTAAAAATCAGTTTTTCTATTAGTGAGATGTGATTGTTGTTCAAGTGTTATTCTGACAAATAATACCTAAGGAAACTTAATTTAGTAGCATCAACAGGTAACTTAATTACTTCTCATTAATATTATGATTGTCCGGTAATTATATAGGTCATCACACATCATTCACGAATCATTTATACAATTATAATGTGCAGTAACATTAATTTCTAAAAAGTTAATAACCAACAACGATTAAAAAACAATTAAATTCTTTATTAACAATAAAAAAATCTTTATTTAGTTATAACCAATATTTATTTTATAACGTTTATCTACATATGTGTATAAAAAGAGAATTAAGAATTACCACCTAGGAGTGATAGAAAATAAAATTTTGTTCAAAGAAAAAACTGATGTATATATATATGTACATATATACATATATATATATATATATATATATATATATATATATATATATATATATATATATATGTATATATATATATATATATATATATATATATATATATATACATATATATATCTTAGGAAAAGGAAAAATTATATTAAGATACCAAACGATATATAATTGTGATATGTTTGAAAATAGACGTAACGTCCAAATTTTTAAAAAGATTTTTTATTGTTCGGATAGAATTTTATTGCTTAAGTAATAAAATAATATATAATATAATATAATATAATAATATATATATACATAAACGGGTAGCCTAAAAAATAATATTAAGGTGCATTACATAATTTTGGCAGTGAATTGTATTTGCACTGTCAGTTACCAATCTTGTTTTCGAGTTATTAATCTTCTTTAGAGTAAAATCTAGATTAATAAATATTTAGGGAGTAGGGGGAGTAAAGAGTACTGTAGTATGAGTGAAGTGACCACCTAATGGTTAAAAAATTAAGCTATTTTTCCTTGCCTTGAGATCGACTAATAAGTTACGATAACTATTTATAAATATTTTATTAAATAATTTTAAATCACTTATAAAATAAATTAGGAATATAATCAGGTCTTGAAAAAAAAAAAAATGTGTTTTTATATGTCTGATATAATATAGAAAATTAGAACTAAGCGTATTAACGCATTTTGTATTTATTATAGCTACCAATCCATATTGCAACCTATTTTGTATAAATTATTTAAATCATATTAATTTGTTCAAATCATATTTAAGCATGTTAGGGTATTAATATATATTAATATTAATATATTAATGATATTAATTTCCGATCTCTATTAGAACATTTGTCATAATAACCCATCTTATAAATTTTACACATAAATATAGTCTATCATTAACTAAAATGAGATCGATGAAATCAGGAAAGGACGGCAAATTGTTTCCGCCCTGTGTTAATCAGGAAAACAGAAAAAAAAACATTATTCCTAAATTAAAATTTGTTTTTGGTTAGCTAATTTCATTATCAGAAGAATAATTTGCAAGGTTAATAATGAATGATTATGATTATGTTAATTGAAAACATCAACTGTCTTTGGTCATAACTAGTTAAGTCGAAAAATGGTCCTCACGATTCCTGTAAATCGAAATCATATTCCAAGGCTTCTGAACACTGTGAAGAAGTTAGTAAATTTACAGTTCTCGTTTAGACCTCTGCATTTTTAGTACTGTGAGTTCACTTCGAGTTAACTTCTTCACAGTGTTGTGAAGGCTGAGAAGATAATCTCAATTTACAGAACTGAGGACCATTTTTCGACTTAACTAGTGACCTCGGACGATATATATGTAGTTCATTCCCGTCCATAAACATATATACATGAAAAAACGCTTTTTCCTCAGGTGAAAATGGGGTTAGACATTTCACAAGTGATTAGTAGTTTTAGAGGGCTTGGGATGTCATGAGTATCCAGATCGCAGAAGAAGCGTGGCGTACTTTAAGGACTGGTTAAGGAGGATGAAGAAGTGGATTTTGTGCGGTGGAAATTATTTTGGAACATTGTAGGAAATAAAGTTATATTACAAAATTTTCCTAGTGTTCTTTGTATTGTAGAATTCCTGTAGTAATGTGATTGTAATTGGGCTGAGGGTTGTTGTTACAGTTTTGGCATGTGGGTGCTTCTAAATCTCTGAGAAAGTGTTCGTGTGTAAGGAGGCGGTGACCAATTTGTAAACGGCGCAATATAATTTCTTCTCTCCTTGATTTTATTGTGCTTGTAAAATATTAGTCCGTGGTACAGACCCCTTTTTATCGAATTATTAACATCCGTCTGAAACTTCGTAAATAGTTTCATCTCATCGTAAACATTTTTTTTTTTTTTTTTTTTTTTTTTGGTTTATTGATAAATATTACAATCTGTCTCAATAAAGGACATTTATAATAGAGTTCTGAGAGCACATTCACACCATATTTACAAATTAAAAAAAAATAAATAAATAAAAAAAATAAGCTAACTTCAAATAATATAAAGCTACAAAAGAACAAAATAAAATATCATAGTGAGAAAAAAAAAAAAAAAAGTAATGAAAATAAACATCCATCGTAAACTACAATTATTTTATTTACGAAAACTCTTGGAATTGGAGCGTTTTCAATCTGGAGAGATGCAAACTTTGTCTATTTAATTAGGCACTAAATGCTCATAAATACACATTTGCTTTCTATTTAGATCGTAAGATAATTTGATCACAAAATCGATAAAAAAAGGTGGCCTACAAAAATATTGGGCCGTTTGTCATATATAACCTCGTTATTGTGAAAATTTGGGGGTGTAGTTCACGCCGAACGGCTCAATTTTTATGAAGGTTTTTTTCTCGATTTTTTGATCAAATTTCTTACGATCCAAGTAGAAAGAAAATGTCTATTTATGAGTTTTTAGTACCTAATTAAATAGACAAAGTTTGCCCTCTCCAGATTGAAAACGCTACAATTATGAGAGTTTTCTAATATAATAGTTGTAGGTTACGATGAGATAAACTATTTACGAAGTTTCAGGCGGATGTTAATAATTCGATAAAAAGGGTCTGTACCCGGACTATATTTGTTGCTTGTTAATCCCATTTTAATTTTTAATAGTTTGTATTGTTATATTCCAGAAAAATTCTCAAAATTTCATGAGACCTCACATATCATCCAAATCCCGTTGTACAATCAGTATCTAGTTCACCCACCCCTACGATCCTCCTCGAAGGTTGAAGTGGCAGTGGCCCAGAGATCTTTTGTGAATAAGCATATATTGAAGTTTTGGCAATGGCCAGATTCTCCGCTCAAGCCATGTATTTGTGATTCTTAAGCCTCTACAAGTCCTTAATACCAGTAATGCGATTGAGTAAGAGGCGCTGGGATCTAGTATCATGCCTTCCTTTCACGAGTCCGGAGAAAGGCTTGGTTCATAGTTCTCCTTAGTGAACGGATTCTGTAAATATTGTATAAAAGTATGCTTTCAGCATTTTTTATTTTTTTTTATTTATTGTTTATGTTTCTAGAATATGAATGTGCTCTCTGAACACCATTAGAAATGCCCTTAATTGTGACAGCTTGTAATATTTATCAATAAATAAGTTAAACAAAAGAAATATTCAAAATTCTTCAAGTGTCATTAAAAGAACATATGAAACAACTGTCACCCTTCAAATACGAAGCCGAAAATATTTAGAACACAATTGTGGTATTTACGAACATTTATTCAAAGATGACTTCGATAAATGCCGATACGATAACCGGAATGTTAAACATTTATAAAATATTGTTTATCTGTAATTTGCTAATATAATTTAAACAAATGATAATCGGATAAGAACATTTGGTTGTTGAATTGTTTTGCTGTGTGCAACCAGTGTTGCCGTTTGTAAGAGGATCCTCGTATTTGTACGAGGTTATGAGATAATGTACGACGTACCTCGTACATAAGTTTTGCTGACGTATGCAATGCAAGGTTATATTATTATGAATGAAGTTTAGAATTGTTTTAAGGTTATTTTGACTGTATTATTATTTATATTGATATGAAATACTGAACTTCTGTTGCTTTATAGACAAATAAATTGCAATTAATATCTTCTTTAATTAGAGTATAATTATTATTTCCTTCATAAAACCATGATGTATATATATGTTTTTTTTTTAGTTTTCTAGAAAATAAAATTAAAAAAAAAATTTTAGATTTTATTTAGTATAAAATAAAATATAAGAAACCATATCCATTATTTCCTTCATACAACTTTTTTTTATAAATATGTATTTTTTAAAATAAGCAGAAATTTTTACCGTCAGTTTTATCGAGCATAATATAAAATACGAGAAAGTATATCCATTATTTCCTTCGTAATTATTATTTCCTTCATAAAACTGCAATTGTAAATATATTCTAGATAAATTAAATTCTTTTAAAAATTATTACCGTAATTTAAAAAAAATATTTTCGATTTTTAATTGGAAATAAAGTAATTAATTGAAAAATTAACTAGTATTCATAATGAACCCATCTTAAATAATGAAAAAAAAAAAGTATTTTTTCAGTGGTCGTCATTTATTTTGTGCGAGATATAATTGTAAGCTAAATACTGAAAAAATCACAATCTATTATTTTTTTATATTATAATAGATATCTCTAAAAGCATCAATGCTCCAATAATTAATTTTTATATGCCTTCCAGAACCACTAACATCCTTTCATAAAAGTAGTTGCTTTGTTTTTAGAAAAAAGAAAAAAAAATAGTCCTTCCCCCAAATTAAATCTAGGATCTACTAATGAATACTTATGAAGAGTACTTTAAGAACTTTATTTATCTATTTTAATGTTTATATAACGTTTTCAGTAGTTTATAAAAATATATAAACTTTTTTATATATTTTATGAAGCTAATTTTACTTCTTGACCCATTAAGTTAAAAAAAAAGTAATGTAAAAAGACTTTAAAATATATGAATGGAGGTAAAAATAAAAAATTCTTATCTAATTTTACTATAAAAAACAAACAAACAATAACACTGAGCTTATAATAGTACAAGTTATGAATAAACAAGCGTACGAGGATGTACGAGGCTTGAGTACGAGGTTTTGTCACAGAGCACGCGGTACCACTGTGTGTAACCCATTCTTGGAGTTCGGTCTACTCCTCCCTAATAGTGTTGCCCA